AGCTTTGAATAAATAAGCTTCTACATCAAAGTAAATATTTCACTAACATACGCACTCGTAATCCTCATTGCATGGAAGATTTGCATAGCACCCACTGGTTCCTGGGCCGCAATAAGCTCCACAAACACATTCAAGCTTGTCACACATTCCTCCAAGGCAATCAAATCCCTCCCGACAATCATCGCTACTCTGGCAGCTATCTCCACATCCTTTTAGCTGTTTAGCCTCAGATCCCATTTTTGTGTTAGTGATGATCAAAGCTGCAAAGAAAACTAAGAAGAAAATCGCCTTCATACTTGTTGGAAAGTATGTTGTCACTAGAGATTGTAATACTTGATGGAAAGTATGTTTTCACTAGAGATTGGAATGTGTGGAGTTTATATAACACGTGACATACTAACTTGATCAAAAAAGCTTGAGCTACCAACAACCTTCTGTCATGTAGTGTTTGTTGGTTTCTTTGTTTTGGATAATCAAGATGCAAGTTGACAAAAGTCTTAGGAATAGCAAGATTTTACTAATTCAAATTAATGTGTGATTATTCAGCATGAAAGTCAGCTTTGTAATACCTATGTTAGTATTTTAGTTATTCCACTTTTGGGTTTAGAGATTATTGTAAAGTATCTAGAAAAACTTATTTTGGTTTGGCTTAGGAGAGAGGTTAAATATGTGGTTTTAAAACGAATAGGCTAAGCCATAAAATATTCTGAAATATCTTAGTGGTTCGTGTCTTTCTTTAAAATTAAGCTTACCTGGACGAATAGCCACGTGGCAGTGTCATAGTGGACGCACCCATTTGTCTTTAGGGTTAGATTGGGGGCGATGGTGATGGAGTTGCCGCCAATGGATCTGGTGACTAAGGTGCTCGATTCCTCTGATCTCACCGGTGAGAAGGCTGTGGTGGCCAAGATGATGAAGGAATTACAGGAGAAGCATCCCATACAGCTCCAGTACGACGCAGATGTCTTGCTCCACGCTTTGTGTAAACCCTGGGAAGTGGTAAGCAAAAAATTCTATCTCGTAGTTGGATGCCTCTCCTTTACAAAAGAAAGTGATTTTTCTCACTTTCCATCTGTTTTTTTTCTTTCTTTCTTTCTTTCTTTCTCTCCAGGGTGGTCACGCTTACGATTTTAAGAAATGCCATCGCCAATTAAGAATCACCGATCCATATCAAACTTATTCGACAGACCAAGTCTTGCTTCAAGTACGTTTCTCTCAAGCTCATGAAAGTTTTCATTTTTATTTGTTTTTCCAGTGGCACGAGAGAGTAGTAGCAGAACGAGAGGCATGGAACAGGCAAAGGCAGCTCAAAGCACACATGCTCTTCCTTCTTTCCAAGCTCCAAGTTGCGGAGAGGCAGCGGCGTCGCACCATAGGTTCACAAGCACTCTATCTCTCAATCGTCACCGAGCTGCGTTGAGGTTTTAGTCAATTCTATAGCGAGCCAGATGAGGTGACGATTTCACAACTTTCGTCGTGAACTAACATCTCGCTTCTCGTGTTCTTCCATTTTTCTTCGTCCAGAGAAGCGAAGACTTACGCATCCCGAAGAGGAGCCTGCTGATTTCAAAGAATCGAGCGACAACTTAAGGCTCTTGATCGATACGTACTTCGCGAAGAGACCCTCGGAGCTTAAGTTGCTGGAGCCAGTGGCGGAGGTGATTGTCAAGCCAGAGGATCCTCCCGCCGAGCCGGCGACGATGATAGTCAAGCCCGAGGAGGATACTTCCACTTCCAAAGATCCAGCAGTGCTAGTCAAGCCGGAGGATCCTCCAACCGAGCCAGCAACATTGCTACCACTTCGCAGTACCACGCCCAAGATTGTCATGGAAGTTCCAAGCCCAAGAACAGGTTCTTCTTTCTCTTCTTTTCGTTGGTGCTGGAAGGAAAAAAACTGTTTTCATGTTTTTTCTGTGATGCAAACAGTGGCTTTGAGGCAGGAAGTGAAAGACCTCGATCTGTTCGACGAGAAGCTCACGCCACCAGAGCCAGAGGCACCAAAGAAAAAGAAATAAAAAAATCTTCGTCCAAATAAACAAAGAGATCCTTCCATTGTCTTTGGTGCTTAACACAGGTAAACGATGTCCTTCAGGTTGAACGTCGTATCGTCTCCGTGCCAAAAGTTCAAGTCCGCGGCTCTCTCAGATGAGCAAACATTTGGGTTTGGACATAGAAATGGCTGATTGATAATTTCTATATGCTCTCCATCAAAGAGACATATTTTACAAATATTTTTATCTCATGTCTTGTAAGAAAGAAAAAGGTGGTAAAACAACAATATGGTGCTAGAGAAGCCACATCCAACTCGCAACCTCACCAACAAAAACGCCACTAAGAAGAGCAAATACTAGAATGTTGCCCAGTGCACTTTGTTCAGATACCTGTTCTAACAACAAAAGTTAAGCAAGACTGCATTTGTATTTGCTAGTACCTTGTAGCCTTTGGGAGCGTTTACAAACACGCAAACGCTGAAGTGGCCATTTGATGTCCCAAGAAAAAAGCAAAGGACTATTGTCCACCCTTCATACTGGCTTCCAAAGTAAAAAGCAGGAACGAGTGCGAACCTTACGAGGACCAGCCAGAAGAGCATTGTCCTGTTTTTCAGCTTCAAAAAGTTGAGGCATATGAAGTATCGACCAGCCATATCCCCAACATTAAATACTGTAACCAGTGTAACCACGTACCTGCAAAAGTGTTATTCAAGGATCGAATAAAAACTGATCAAAGAATTGGTACCATGATCCTAGCTGGAGTGTTTGGCTATGCTTCGCTAGAATTCCTGGAAATATTGCTAGTGTAACCACGTGAATGATGAAGATGTTGAACACGTAATCCAGATTGGCTTTAAGGAGTTTTGTGTTGCTTAGTCTTGGTTCCGTTTCTATTGCCTCACTTTGGACCCGTTTTGTAAAGCGTGGGAAGACAAAAATGTAAAGTACCACACAAACCAGCTCAACAATTGCGGAGATAAAGAAGAAAGCAACTGCAAGAATAAAAAAATCAAATCGAAAGATAAAGATTCTATTTCTTGACGCTTACGAGCTCCTTTTCGTAGTCCAGCTCTATCTTCTGTAAATGAAGCTTTGGTTATTAGCCTCATGCATGATGTAGCAACACCAGAAGCAGCTACACCTGCAGTAAAAGACTGAAGATTGTATTATATGATTAGTTATCTGCAGAAAGCAATCACATTTTGAGATACCTGCAAAAGTCCGGTGTGGGTGTAAGATAGCACCCCGACAACTCCAGCTTCAACGCAGCCTCCAGATGCACCAAACAATGCAGTGCTGATGCATACGCCAACGTAGGTTCCAAAGCTCCCGAGACCCGAAGAGGCTAGATCGAGCTGAAATAGACAAAAAGTTTAACTAACTGTTTATCCTTCAAGATGATCTAAACTTACGACCGGGATGAAGAACGAGACGAAAAAGAAGAGCCAAAATCCACATACAACGCGGTACTGTGTGATGATCTCTGATTCAAATGCAGTCAAAATTCCCACCACAAGCATGGAAATAGGCTGATAAACAAGTGGAAGAACTCGGGATGGATAGTAATCCTGCAAAAACAAACGCAAATTGAATATAGAATCAAAGTTGCCAGGCATTGTCATACGGAGAAGACTTGTAAATAATAATCCATAGCAGACAGCATGCTGTTCCATGTCAAGACAGCACCCACGCCCAAAATCCAGCACGTTAAATGCCCCAACCGCGTCGCTCTTGCTCCAGCAGTGGGCTCCATTCACCTCTGAACCCTATAGCACTTTAAACAAGATAGCGCAGTAGCAAAAAGTTATTGGTCGTTCTTGACTGCCACCGAAGCTTGAGCAAATTACCGGCAGCGCAATCTCCAAGGAATTCGCACCATTGCAAACCAGCACCATTTTTCTTTAAAAGCACCAGAAAATTCTACCTCGTGGTCGGACGGAATCACAAATCCTATATCCCCTGGGGTTATCCAGCACAAGAACTCCGTAAACTCTGTGCCTGGCCACTAAAAGCCTTCTGTCCTTCAAAACCCCGGCTTGAGTCGCAGCTAAGAGTGCATGGCTAAGAAACACGAAACCAATGCGAGAAAGACCAACGTCTTGAGACTGATATTTGTTTCTCACTCTCTCATCGTCGCTGTTCCATCGGACCCGGTGGTGCTCAAGGATTGCTCTTAAATCGTGATTGTAGAGCAGCAGTACACGTTCCGAAACGAGCAGCAGGGAAGTATCAACTACCGGATGCTGCCAGGCTCGAGCTCTGGCGAAACAATATCAGTATCAGCAAGGGCATTTTGTAGGAATGGAGATATGTGTAAGTTGTCGTACGGCTCGAGCTCCTCAAACTCCACAAGCACCACTTTCTCATATCGATCGAAAGGTGGCTGGAAAACATTGAGTATCTCATCTCGACAGAAGGACTTTCTCGAGGCTGCAGGCAAGCATTCTGGGTGAAGTGGGTAATCAAGGAACAAATTAGGTGTAGCATGCTTAATCACAACACTAATTTGATCTGCCGAGCCCTTTCAAAGATCTCCAAGTTCACATTCTCAGATTCAATGGTTAAGATTAGACTTGTAAACATATTTTATCTTTATTTTTATATCACTATAAATTCTATTAATGTTTTATACTCATATGACATTAATACTTCTTTAGTTTTTACTTTATATAGCAAATAATTATGTCTAAATTTTTATATTGTATAAAAAAATTTAAATTTCACAAGATTCAATTAAAAATGCATTTAGGTTATAGGTTATAAGCTTGAAAACGATCAAAAATTATATATACTACAATTATGTAAATTAAAATGAAGAGTACATAATAAAAAAAAACTTATAAAACATTATTATAAAGGATGATTTACATAAAATTGTTAAAGTTGTCAATTATACTAAAGCAATGAAGAGTATTTTTTATAAATAATAAAAATAATTCACTGAATATAAAATTATATTTGATGAAGAAAATCCTGAAATAAAACTTTATTTTAATTGGATTCATCCAGATTTATAATTTAACTTTTTTTAATTAAAGTTTCTTTTTATATTTAAAATAAAGTATGAAGCATAAACAATGTTTATGCCTTATAAATTAATTTTTTGAAACATTATATATATATATATATATATATATATATATATATATATATATATATATATATATATATAAAATGAATAATGGCATCTAGAATAATGGCATTCATTAAAATAAATAGTATCCAAACATGAATCACACATATGCTACAATATACAAAGGCTACTTAAGATTTAAAAAATAATGGTAAATATAAATATAATTTTATAAATTAAAGTAACTAAATTAGAATGAATCATATATATATACTTATAAATTGTTTTATAGAAATGACTAATAATTTACATTTTATATTTAATACAAATAAAAATTAATATATTAAAATATTATACTTTATTATTCAAATAAATTTAATATCAAATTTTTTAATTTTTTTAATTTAAAGAGATATCATACATCTGAGCTTTAAAAGTTAAAAACTTTTAAAGTAACAAAAGAAGATAAGAGCACATTAGAGCTTACCATTAAAATTATATATGATATGTTCTTTATTTCAAGTTTTTTATATAGTTTAAGTGAAAGAGTTTATGCATGATATACAAACGAACATGGGTGACAAAGAGTAAGAAAAATTCTTCTTTTACTCACATCATTCGAAATATTTTTAACTCAAACTTTTTGTTATGGATAAATGTTTTGAACAACCATTAAAATATCTCTTAAGCTCCAATAATATTTACTTTGGTAGAAAATAAAATATTTTATCAATTGAGTTATACTCTTTAGATGAATAGTTAAATAATTTTAAAATTAAGAATGAAAAAGTTATTAAAGATTATTTTTCCTTTACAAGCACGTTTTTTGTTTTTAATTTGATTAATAAACTAAGTAAATAAAGAAGAACAATAATACATACCTTAATACAAAATTTTCTTACCTCAATGAGATGGCAACGTTGCTTTGGAATGGAATGTGATGAGATCCTCCAATCACTGCGGCGCAATCTGGACATCTCGACTGCTCCATTGGACGGCCACACTCTCCGACCACATAGATGTGACCATTCGGGCATTTGTACCACGTACCTCCAACGCTCCCAAGCGCGGCTCTCAATTCCACCGCTTCAATCTCCACACTTCTCTTCATCTTCTCGGCCTCACTCTTGATCCTCGCCGCGCTCTCGTTCCCGGGATCGTGCCTTAGCACCGCCTCACAGATCGCCACCGCAGCCGCAAACTTTTGCAGATTTGTGAGCGCCAGAGCCCACTGCACCATCGCCTGGATCGCGAGCTCCACACCGGCGTTTGCGACGAGATCACTGGGTGTAACGTTGCTTGGAAGAGGAGTGTAGCTGCTCGAGCTCGAGGTGTCTGATCGAATTTTCGAGATCTCGGACGAGAGTGGGCTCGACTGGACGATCAATCTCAGATGGTCGATTGCTTTCTCGAAGTCTTTAGCCTGGCAATACGCTGTTCCAATCCCAAGGTGGGCCTGGAAGAGCCCCGACTCGACCTGGATCGCCTCGGTGAAGAGTTCTATGGCCGCCGAGTGATTCTTCTTCCCGAGGTGCTGGAATCCCTGGTTTGTCTTGTAATTCGCCATCACTCTCCTCTTGACTTGCTCGATCTCTTGGAGCTTTGCTTTGACGATGTTTGCGTAGCGGTGAGTTATCCGGATTGGAGTCTTGCATAGCGGGCTGGGGAAAGAACACGATCAACCAAGAAATCTAGCATGGATCAAACTCTTCTTACGTACCAGGACTTGAGAAGGATCGCCGATTGATTGTCGTCCGACTCCATCCATCGATCCAAAGTCGACACTTCAAACAAATGGCCGCAATCTTGGAGCTGGATGAATCGATCAGATCTATCGCTCTCCCCCAAACTTGTGAGCGAGATTGGATCTCGAGTTTCTGGATCGCAAATCCGGCACTTCGTCGGGCAAGGCTCGCCGCAAAGCCCAATGCATCGATGGCGACACGTGGAAAGCCGCCTCCTACATGGCATGTCGCACCGTCCGCGCTGGCATGTTTCGTGGCACTTTAGCTCGCACTTGAGGGTGGCGGCATCTCCAGGAGCATCTTTCCCGACACGGCCGACATGGCTCTCCACAACGCTTGGAGCACTGGCTGTGGACGCAGCGCTTGTCGCATGGTCGCCGACAAGGTGGGCAGGGGACCGAGCAACTGTCCTGGCAGAGGTGACCGCAAGGAAGATCCCGACCGCATCTTTGCTGGCATGTAATATGCTTTTCTCCACGTTGGCACCGCCCACACGTCCCCTTGCACCGGTGCTGGCAGCCCTCTAGGATGGCGTCACATGGCACACTGCATGAGAAGGTGGCGGGGTCGTGGAAGCATCTCATCCGTTCCCCATGTCCACATGGCAGCTCCCTGACCACCGATTCGCAGCATTTGGTCTCACATGGCCTTCCACAGCTGCTCGGGCATGAATGGCCGCAAGGGAGAGGTCTCGGGCAGGGACTCGAGCACGCGACCTCTTCTACCTTGCTCGCGCATGGAATCCTTTGCTCGTGACCACAGCTAGGGTTTATCTTCGCGACGAGGATCTGGCAGGGCCGGCAGGGGCGATCGCCATGGCAGAGGTTGGCGCAGCTATGGCCGCATTCTTCTCGGATTTTCTCGCATTGCTTGGGACAGATCACGGCGTCGTGCGATCCCGGATGGCATCGTCTCGGGCAAGCGTGGCCGCATTCGAGCTGGAATTCGCAAGGTCTGTTGCATCCGCCATCGCCGACGAGGCGGAAATCTTGGATCTTCCGGACCGGGGTCTCGGTGTCGGGGTGATTCTGGCAGCGCAGCACCAGTGCATCACCGATCGAGTGCTGCTCCTGGAGGATTTCGAGGATCTTGCGCCAGAGATCGCTCTTCCGGGTCAGTAATTCCGCGTTGCCAAAGATGTAGAGGCCCTGGCGGGCTCGCGAGAGAGCTACATTGACCCGGTTGGCGATGTTGAGGAAGCCGATCTTTCCAGCGCTTTCTTTGTCCGGGATTATGTTGCTCCTCACCAGCGAGAGAAGGATTATCGTGTTCTCCTCGCCTTGGAACTCGTCCACACTGGACACTCGCGGCAAACTTCCATCAGCTCCAGGACCATCTATGGAAGATGACGAAGACGATGATCCACGATTTCTCCACGAAGGACTATCTGACGACGATGATGATCCACGATTTCTCCACGAAGGACCATCTATGGCGGATGACGAGGAAGGACGATCTGAAGTTGCTCCTTGAATGCTCGAAGAAGTAGCGCCAGATCGAAAGAAGCTGTGCTCCGCCAACCTCCGCTGGATCTCCTTGACTTGTCCCTTATACATGGCGAGGATGGTCACGTCCTTGGCATCGTAGCAGGCTTGGTTGAGAAGATAGACACAGAGCTCCACCACGAGTCCGGCTTCAGTGGGATTGATCTTGGTCGCGCCATCTTCTTCGTCGCCGCAATCCTGCTGCTCGAGAGCTTTGTGATCCAGGAAGAACAAGCTCGACTTCATGCCTTTGATATCCTCGTACTCGGAAGCTCTGGCATGGTCCTTCAAGCTGGGATAGATGGTGCCAGAGATGAGCTTGGAGATGCAAGGCTTCATCCTTCGCTGGGTTTGGAGCATTACGTGCTGGATTCCATTCTTCACCATCCGCTCGAAGAGAGAGACCTCGAGTTTGTGCTTGGTGGCGAGCTTGTAAGTCGCCACAGAAGGACGGAGCTGCAAGTGATCCCCGATGAGAATAAGTTGGCGAGTGTGCTGCGTGAGGCATGCAAGTACGTGACTCTCGAGCACCTCAGCCGCTTCTTCGACGATGACAATCTCTGGCTGGAGAACGGCCAGCATCTCGTTCAATCGAGCAGCCCCGGTCGTCGTCATTCCCACAACTTTGGATTTTCTCAGTATCGAGAGCTGGATTTCTCGCTGGGCTTCCTCGTTCGCCTTGCAAGCGGCGAGGTAGTTAAGGGTGTGCCGGGCAAGTTGGCGGCGAGCTTCGGTGTGGATCTTCAGGAGCCAGTACTGATGAAGCCTTCGTCTTTCTCTCACGGGAAGGCTCCACAGGTCGGGGTCGTCAACAAAGACATCCAGTGGGATTTCTTCTTGGATTTGGTTGGAGGAACTGGCTGCGTCGAAAGAAGCAGCAGGGACAGATTGGTCTTCATCTACCTCCACAACCTTGCGCTTGCCGCGATCCGCCTGCTGATCCGGTGGAGCAGCGATCGTCTCGACAATCGGAGCTTCAGGGTTGGTATCGTCCCTTACTTCGCATTTTTTCTGGAAAGTCTCAGCTAGCCAGCCTCGGATCCTCGCACTAAGCGCACTGCCTTCTTCGTCACTTTCTGCTTTTGGTTCCTCTTCTTCTTCCATCTCCGATCCAGTATCTGTTTCTGCCTCCTCCTCACTTGAGCTCTCATAAACATTCCCATGGTCAGCTGGCTCCTGATCCTCGTCCTCGAGGAGATCAAAACGATTGTAGTTCTTCTTGTCCTTCAGTGTCACGGACTTCTTCTCAAGTGCCACAGTCTTTCTCTGGATGCTTTCCCCCTCCAGCCAAGCCTTCACCCCTCCAGGTCCATTTTCAAACAAAGCTTTTGACTGTTCATACGTCGCGATCTCAAGAAGCCGCTCTCTCGTCACGTACTGAAGCTCCATTTTCCTCTTGCAGTTTTCGATGGCCTCTTCGAAAGTTTCCATTCCACTGGCAGAAGCCATGGACATTCGTACCAGAGGTGGGCTCAACTTACAGTCCTTTCGAATATTTGCGAGAGTGCAACGATCTACAGTCTTGCTTTTTGATCCCGCGCCAACACGAACAACTCTAGTCTCGAACTCCATCACTTTCTCCAGGAACTGATCCAGTGCATGGTTTGTGTAGCAGACAATGAGGATTGGACCGTGAAGGACACCCGGTTGTTCCTGTTCTTGGCTGGCGCGCCGACCTTTCCAAGGTGACGTGATATCTGGCCTTGCACAGCTTTCGCTGAAAAGATTTGCTAGCAGTGCTCGCACGATCAAGAGGCCAACGAAAGTCTTGCCAGTGCCTGGAGGTCCTTGAATGAGTGCGAGTCTCTTCGTCAAGGCATGCTTGATCGCTGCTTTCTGGCTCGCATCCAAGGTACAAGACGGCCAATCCGGCCACTCCTGAAGTATGTGAAATCTGGATCGCCCGAGTTCTTCTTTTATTTCAGGAAACGTAGCCTCGAAGTCGTAGAAGTCTCCTCCAGCTCGGTGCACCAAGTATGACGGTGGCTTTACCTCTTGATCCAGCGCGATAAGGTTGTCATTGAACGGTAAGCATTCCATTTCTTCTTTCTGCAGCACCTTCAAAACGTGGCAATAAGCTCCAAAGTATGCTCCTGTAGATTCGATCATCGTATACGCTGTTTCCTGGAGCTCAGCACCATCGAGTAAGATCACGTCGACAAGTCCTTGGGCCAGCTCGTCTCTCGATGCTACCGTTCCAAAGACTACCGACCTCTGGAAGTTGTCGGGACTGAAGCATACCAGCGCTTCGAACATGAGACGCTTCGAGTTTTTCCAGTCCTCGTCAACCATTCTTCGTCGCCGCGTTCCTCGAATATCGAATCTCACTCTCGTTGCAATGCCTTCTCGGACGAGAGCCACCTGTATCGGTCGGACGTTCTCATAGACTCGGACGTCCAGGCGGCCTTTCGCTCGGTTTTGGTGCTGCTTTATACCGTTCCTCAGCGGCTCGATGAAGTCTTCTCTCGTGAGCCTGAAGTGAGTTTCCAGATACTCCGTCGCGGAAGAATAACGAGTGTCTGTCTTGTTCACAGGCACTTCTGATGGAGCGACAATGTTGAGCAGCTCTGGGGTGGTGGGGATGATAGGCGAGCTGCGGAACTCCGATCCCTGCACAAGGAGAAAGATCAGTACTTCTCTTGGAGACAACAAGGTCTTAAAAGACTTGCCTGTAAGCACGCATCCGGGTATGCTGCCGTGAGTTTGAGCCGGAGCCTTTGCTTGTGTTCTAACAGGGCCGTCGTCTTGTTTGCGAGCTCCACTTTCAACGGACATTCGGGAACAAGATCCAGAGAATCCTTGATCTCGTGCAGAGGTACGTGCTTCCAGCCATCGAGAGTTCGTTGCTGAATCTCTTCTGCCAAAAGCAGGAACGGCTCCAGCTTCTGCGCGGTCGGGGGTGTGAGAGTGTTGATGTGAACCTGGAGATCTTTGAGGAAGCTCGATCCAAGCAGCGAACCGAAGATCAAGTTGGTGTTGTGCTTGAGCATGCTGCACCGGATTCCTTCCTTGGTCAGCAACTTCACCAGCATGTTTGCCGACTTGAGGCCGAGATGCGGACTCGAGAGAACGTTTTGAAGCGCTTGGAGTCCTTCCGCCGAGCTGAGATACTCGATGTTGTCGGTCGAGTGCTGTTCAAGCTGCGTGATCAGCCACCTTTCGATGTGAGGCCCCGAAGCAAAGGTGGTGCTTGTGGCGTTCGAGGAGCTCGAGCCGTGCGAGAACCTACACAGGTGTCCATTCCTGCAATGCCCTCGCTGAAAGTAGTGACATTGTTTCCTTTCTTCTCTTCCAGAGCTCCTGGACGGTGGTTGATACTTTCCCACTGCTGCTGGCTGCTGCTGCTCTACGGTCACTCTTCCAGAGCTCCTGGCCGGTGGTTGATACTTCCCCGCTGCTGGTTTCGGAATGGCTGGCTGCTGCTGCTGCTCTACGATAACGAATTTCTCCGCTGCTGGCTGCTGCTGCTCTACGATCACGAACTTTGGCATGCGGCGCTTGGAAGCGCAGTCCTCGAGCACGAGAGCCAACTCCAGATCCGATGGAACGGCGACGAGCTCCTTGGTGTCGTCCTCGAACATGACGGCGGCCGGGGTTTGCAGCCTGTCAAACGTTTCTCTCGCGACTGTGAGAAGCTCCGCGAGGCTTTGGTGCTCGGCGAAGCGGACGAGTCGAGTGGTTTCATGGTACCGCAGCTTCACCAGGCGATTGGACGCGACCTCCTGCTGGGATGGAAAGTGGTCATCGAGGCAGCAAAGCTGGCAGCAAACTTTACCTCTGGAGCGCTGGTTGACGACGATGATCCATCTCCAGCTACCAGAGCACTAAGATTCAACGGAAGAACAACACGGCCATGGCGCTTCTTCGTCTCTCTCGACATCGCAGCGATGGGGAGTGAGAGAGCTTGGTTGATCTCGATACGTTGGTCTCGATCGTGGTTCTTTGTTTCGCGCTGAGGTGGCTAGCAGTCTTGCATCAATGGGAGAGACTAGACATGCATTCTTATGATTTAGCTATAGATGCCAACCTTGTAAGCGGGAGATTCGATTGTGAAAGTGAAAGCTACCGTGGTTTCACGAATTGTAGCGTCAGGGATGACGTGTCACAGCTAGGTCCTACGTGGCAATCAGTGAGCTTATAAACCAATGCCGTTATACTATGATTAGAAAACCATACCTTTAAATTAGTATTATTTGAGTCGGTAATGAACTATAGATGAAAATGACAATTTATTAGTTAACAAAACCGCGCGTCCAACGAGGCGTTGAACCATTGATAGATTTTCTTGGATGACAAAAAGAGTGATTTTCGCGACGCTCGTCGCTATCCAATCTATCCGTCTGTCTAGACATCTATATACTATACATGCTTTCCTCAACACGGTGATCTAAATCCCATGTAGTCACCCCGCTCATACTGCTTCCACACGTCCATCCCCCCAAAACCAGCCATGAGAAGCGCGCTCAATCCCATGACACTGGTCACCAAGAACACGATGATGGACGCGCGGCCATACCTCTGGATGGCTCTTTGCACCACCAAAAGCCCCACCAGCGAGAAGACGAAGCAAATCCCCGAGAACCACAGCGCAAACTCCACGGGGATCCTTCCCATGAGCCAGTACTGTGCCACCGACAGGGACGACGAGAAGAACACCATGAACGCGCTCGTTGCAGCCGTCACCTGGTAGGGAGAACGAAGAGTGAAGCTCCATCACGATGGAGGAGGAGCGATGAAACGAGGAGTGTAACGTTACCTGAGGCGGCATTCCCATCTCCAGAAGAATGGGACTGATGAGCATCCCGCCGCCGATTCCCAGCAAGCCACCCAAAATCCCCGCTAGCAATGCCATTAGTGGAAGCGTGAGGTGTGCCCTGTTGGATCGCGACGAGTTCCACTTGCTCGGGTTCTGGATAGATATACGCAAATAACGAAGTCATGAAAAGCCAAGAACAGTATCATAGTTTGCATGGAAAAAGCTGCGAACGAAATCAAAGCTTGCGTAATGACGAGAGAAATGGAAAGGCGCGCAGTGGAGAGATTCGGGCAGCCGAGAAAGCATCCAGGACAAAAGAGAAACAATAAACCAATCAACCAAACATTTGTCCTAGAAAAGTTCCACCAACAAACAAACTCTTAGCACTCGAGACAAGGAACTTCACGTCCGATTGACACGACTACTGACACAAGGCACAGATAACCGGAAGATTTGTGATCTTCTTCCAGGAAGACGATAAAAATGAATGAATTGGAGATGAGAGCTTACCTTTACAGTGGACACGGTGGCTTCCCGGATCGTCCAAACCGTGAAAAGGAGCGTGAGAGGGAGCTGCGATCCCGTGATAAGCCAGTATCCCAAGCCACATTCGTCCAAATGGAAGTACCCCTGAGTGAAAATCTAGCTCTTAAGACGAGAGAATCGAGAAAGAGAGAGAAAAAGAAAGGACCTTACCTCGCTTGTCTTGCTGCCTCGCAAGAGCTGCACGGCGAAGAAGAAGAGCCAGACGAGCAGCAATCCCGCGAGCTTGAGAGCTGGAAACCCTACGGAGCAGCACCCGAGCTTCTCTGAATCGGGAGCTCCCTCTTCTGGCGGATCCATGGCGGCAGCGGCGGCGCGGGGACGACGATGGGGAATTTCGGCGGAATCGAGAAGCGGAGCCTCGGCATCGTGATATTTCGCGCTCTTGCCCTCTCCATCGCTGGAATTGGAACCGGATTCGGCCTTCCAGAGGCGAAATCCGCAGTTGAAGCTCCGGAATGTGACGAACGCGAGCGTGATCGTGAGGAGGAGCGTGATGAGCCAGCCCGGGAACATGAGATTGCATAGAACGCCCAGGCTGATCCCCAGGAGCATGTTTGGCTGCATGAGGAGCGCGGCATCGAAATCTATGAGCGGCCGCTCGTCGTCGAAGGGATCCCGCTGGAAGGCGCTCCACATCATGTTGGCGATCATGCCGCCGAAGATCATGAAATTGGAGAGCACCGCCGCCGTCCTGGTGTTGAATCGCAGCAACAGATTGAAGAGGGGAACGTAGAGGCCGCCGCCGCCGATCCCTCCCGCGCTGGAGACCGCGGCGCCGATTGCCCCGAGAATGGAGGCGATGATCGTCCTGGCGTCGGTGAAATCGACGAGACGGGCCTCGCTGCCATCGCGAAGCAGATTTGGCGAGAAATTCCGGGGGGAGGAGGAGGAGGCTAATCTGCCCGCGGCGGCAGCGATGCACGCGATGAGCGCGACGAATGCGCCGGCGCCACAGCAGAAACGGTACAGATTGGAGCTCATTACCGCGCCTCTCTTTCTTTCTCTCTCTTTCTCTGTGTTAGCCCTAGAAAGAGTTTTATGATTAGGGCAAGAAACAATTTTGAATTTGCTATTAACCAATTTTTAACGAATTGTGTGGCTGTAGTTTAGTGGTAAGAATTCCACGTTGTGGCCGTGGAGACCTGGGCTCGAATCCCAGCAGCCACATCACTCTTTAATTTGTTTTCACTAAAAGCTTGATTTATGTTAATGATTCGGGGTTCAATTTGTTTTCACTAAAAGCTTGATATATGTTGCCGTGGGGTTCAATTTGTTTTCACTAAAAGCTTAATTATTCGCCTGCCGTGGGGTTCGAACCATGACCACAAGGTTAAGAGCGGCTTATACTTGATTTAGAGGTCAGTTTATTATTGTATATAATTAAGACTTGAAACTATAAAATAAAGAATATTAAATTTAAAATTATATTAGAAATAATAGTTAGTGTGAAAATGTTATGCAGGTAATTACCCTGTGGCTGCTGCGATTCGAGCCCAGGTTCTCCACAACGTACATCATGTGGGCTAAATCTTATTATTTAGTGCAAAACAAAGCAGTTTAAAAACATATCGGAGCCAGGTTTCGATCCTGGGACCTGTGGGTTATGGGCCCACCACGCTTCCGCTGCGCCACTCCGATTCTGTTTTCTCTTATCTTTCTTGGCTTATATTTCACCCCGCCAGTGTTATTAACCTCGATATCTTAGCAAAAGTTCCTTAAATATTGTGAGTATAAATGGATCGAGACCAACGCATTTCTTCGTCCCTCTCTCATTCGGGATGGCGAGAGACACGAAGAAGCGCCACATGTGGCAGTGTTGTTCTTCCTGTGAATCTTAGTGCTCTGGTGGAGATGGATCATCGTCGTCAACCAGCGCTCCAGAGGTAAACTTTGCTTCTACTTTTGTTGTCTCAATGACTTTCCGTCCTAGCAGTTCCAATCGCCTGTACCATGAAACCACTCGTCTCGTCCGCTTTGCCAAGCACCAAAGCCTTGTGGAGCTTCTCATAGTCTCCAGAGAAACATTTGACAGGCTGCAAATCCCAGCCGCCGTCATGTTCGAAAGGAGCTCGTCGCTGTTCCATTGGACCATGCTTGAGGACTGCTCTTCCAAGTTTCGCGTGCCAAAGTTCGTGATCGTGAGCAGCAGCAGCCAGCCATTCCGAAATGAGCAGCGGGGAAGTATCAACCACCGGGTGTCAGGAGATCTGGAAGAGAAGAAAGGAAACAATGTCAGTACATTCAGCGAGGACATTGCAGGAATGGAGACCTGTGTATGATCTCGCACGGCTCGAGCTCCTCGAACGCCACAAGCACCACCTTTGTTTCGGGGCCTCACATCGAAAGGTGGCTCCCGCGGGGTGTGTCAAGATGTACACTTCGAGGCCAGCTTTGGTGTCGATCTGCAACTTCACCAGCATGTTTTCCGACTTGATGCCGAGGTGCGGGCTCGAGAGAACGTTTTGAAGCGGAACCGAGAAATCACCTCCCGGTGCTTGAAAATTCGAAAGTTGTGAAAATGACGACGCGCGGAGCTTCTCGGCAGAACGACTTCGTTGCCTGAGATTGTCGTCGAAGAAGCTGCTGTGGTGCTCGAGAGTTACTTACTTGCATGCCTCACGCAGCACAGTCGGCAACTCATTCTCATCCAGGTGCAGCGTGGCGACTTACAAGCTCGCCACCAAGCATAAACTCGAAGTCTCTCTCTTCGAGCGGATGGTGTAGAACGGAATCCAGCACGTAATGCTCCAAACCCAGTGAAGGATGAAGCCTTGCATCTCCAAGCTCATCGCTGGCAGCTTGAAGGGCGATCCGAGCGTTTTCAACTACGAGGATATCAAGTCATCCTGGATCACCAAGTTCTCGAGCAGCAGGATTGCGACGACAAAGAAGATGGCGCGACTAAGATTCGAAGCCGGACACCTTATGGAGTTCTGTGTCTATCTTCTCAACCAAGCCTTCTACGATGCCAAGGACGTGACCTCCTCGCCATGTATAAGGGACAGGTCAAGGAAATCCAGTGGAGGTTGGCGGAGCACAGCTTTGAAACATAGGTCTGTCGAAGGTTTAGCTGAATGTCAAAGTTGAAGAAAGCTTTCATTGATGAATAGTTCAAAACTCTCGGTCAGCTCCAGGTATGATAGTTTTTTTTTATAAAAAAAATTTGAAGTACTGCACACTTTATCACCCAGTATAATCATTCCACCAAGTTGGGGGAGCGGAGGCTCCCCTTATGTTCATCCACAAGCTAGGCCCCTCCCCATTCAAGGAGAAGCAACGAGCCTTCTTTAATTCCCTCAGATGAGAGGGACTTAGTCCCCTCATATAGGAGGGGTTAAATCCCCTCAATAGTCAATTTGTTAATCCTTAAGTCACATTCCTTGTGACTTGCCACATCAGTCCTATTTAGCTACAGCCAAGCCACTAACCATAACATCCTGTCACATTGCGTCAACAGGGAAAGGTCCAAAGACTGTCCATGGGCGTACCTGCCTTCCAAGTGGGATTGGCTCTGATACCACATGAAACAGACTCTGAGGTCGGATAACCTATTTGGTGCTACCCCCACCCCTAAGCCCATTTCTCCATCCAGCCAGCTTGGCCTCCTAAGAGGAATGCTGGAAGCTGTTGAAAAAGAGTCGGCAATCAGGCCCTATATATAGTGAAAGTTTCATTCAATGCGACTTAGTCATGTTTGTGACTTCATGGCTCCATCCGAGCATCAAGTCCCATCCTTAGCCTAAAGGACATCTAAGAATTCCTTAGATGCATTTCTGGG